CGGGGCCGGGACAGCCTCGTGCACAGTCAGTGTCGAATCAAATTCAGGTCTCCCCTCAGCCCCCTCTCTGTTCTGTTTCTGATGGCAGAAAACCTCACCCAAACACATGCCTTAACCAACTTCAAGGATCCTGAAAGCCTTGCTTGGAGACATACTGTTCTAAATCACTCCTGTCAACTGTCTTAAGACAAACTGAGACACTCCCGGTGGGGCTGAACTCACCCTCCTTAAAATCACATGACTTCCGAATTGGAGCTCTGTATGTATCATGTCTTTAAGACATAAAAACAGAAGGTCATAAGCTTTCAGCACTGTCGACTGTGCAGGAGGAAGGAGAGAAAGCATTTTGAAAGGCTTACCATGTTCTAGGCGTGATGACTTCGCATACATTTATTTCATGTTATACACATTTGTGTTTATTACACAGACACTCCTTGACTTACAATGGGGTTACAAGCCGATAAACCTACTGTAAATTGAAAATATCGTAAGTCAAAGAAAGAAGACATTGTAAGTCGAAAATGCAGTGAATACTCCTGACCTGTTAAGCGCCATGGCTTAGCCTCGCCCACCTCAGAGGGGCTCGGAACACTCGCCACGGCCGACAGTTGGGCACAATCGCCTGGCAACACAGGACGTTCTAGAGCATCAGTGGTTTACTCTCATGATCGCGTAGCCGGCTGGGAGCTGCGGCTCCCGCCTCTGCCCAGCATCATGAGAATATCATACCGACTATCGCCAGCCGAGGAAAAGAGCCAAATTCTGAATTTGAGGTACGGTTTCCACTGAGTGCCCATCATCGTTAAGTCGGAAGATCACTAATCGAAGGCTCGTCAGGTCAGGGGCGCTCTGCACGTGAGATGTCGAACTTCGAGTATTCACTGCCCTGCTAGGTCGTTCGGTTTTGGCTATTCCATGTCGCAGTGTAGAGAATGGGGGGGCCAGCAAGTCACCTGTGTCCGTGTAGGATTTCCATCTTACATGCGCTGCCCTAACACTCGTAAGCCCCTGGCGGTTGTCTACGGTGATGCTGACCAAGTTGTATTCTCGTCGGTGAAGGTCGTGTTCAAAAAGTTGGGTAGTACTTCGTAGTCTTCATAGTTACGAGGCACTCTGTTTATACAAAAAGCATTCGGGCCTTCAGAGTGACTGTATGAGGGAGGCATATCGTTATATTAACTTGATACCATTTCAAAAGCAAGTGTCTGTTATGTCCCCCTCCCCGCCACCTACCTCGCTGAGCTGCAGGTGATGTGCTAAGCTATTCCTGTGTTCAAATAAAAGCTGAGAAATCGGACCCGTTAGGGTTGGGGAAAAAATGACTTTAAACACATCGTAATTTTTTATTTTCTGTGGGCAAAATTGCCATAAGGTTTGGTATCAGGAAGTGGGTGATAGTTTTGGGTGTAGAAAGATTGGGGAAGCTTTACTGGAGAAAAATAGATCAATCCAAGCCCAGAATGAGACAGATTTCAGTGGTTACAGCAAGGGGTACAATAGCGGTGGGAGGTTCTTGCCTGTCCACTAGAACTGAAACTTTTCAGTTAAAATGATTTTAGAAAATTAAGTTAATTTAATTATAATTCTCATTCTTTTTTGGAAACTGCTTTGAGCGGAAATGTTTGTCTAGCCTGGCATTGAATGAAGAACTCCTACAGATACGTTCGTAAGATTTTGGGCTGGTAAATATTCTAACTGGCCCGCAGAATTTCCATTTTTTTTCTTTCTACATTATAGGAGGAAACAGGTCAGTCATCCGAGTATCCCTCCTGGGAGTCGTTTTATGTTGTTACCACAAGGTTGTCCTTGCCTATGATTTTTCTCTAAAATATCGTCAGCCTGACATAATTACTTTGTCACACTCTACTTTGCATTATATTCAGTTGTGTGCTGAGGAATGAATGTGTAAATCATGTATTATCATGCCTGCCATGGTGTAAGGATTTTAATGGCTGGGTTGATTTCTGATTTACCTTTTTCATTTCTTCGAGCTTAGCTCATTTCTTTGCACACAGTAGGAGCCCAATAAACCATCTGCCAAGTGGACCTGGGTTAGTGCTTGTAAGTGTTGTATTGTTGCATTATCAGTGATAAATATAAAAGGGAAACATATAATAGCAACTAAAGATACGATCTCATTGTTCTCACTGAATTTCTTTTTTATTTCTTTTTATTTCTTTATATGATATGTATCGTTTTGCATGGATTCTCTTTTTATATTTGGCTATTTACCAATATACCGCAACAACACTTATGGAAATTAAGTTGCCTTATATTTTCAGTTCAGCTTCTTACAAGATAATTGTCTGGTATTTGTGGGTGAAGTGTGATTATCCAGACTACTTTCTAATAATTTAAAATTACCTGGAAAAACAGGTTATTGGGTGGCCTTAGATATATTTGTTTCTGTCTCTTGATTTTAGCAGTGAGCCAAGGGCCCAGGAGATTCCACGAAGGGAATGAATATAAACCCTATGGGCAAATGTGCTTATATAGTTTCAAAAGCCAGGATTATCCTTAATAAAAAATCAGCCTTTAGGCTTTGACTTGTAATAAAGTCGGTGTGTATGTTGACATTTTAATAGAGATTATCTGAAGTTTTGTTTTTTGTACACAGTATTACGGGGAAACCCAAACATGAGTGGTTTCTCCAGAAAGATTCCGAAGGGGACACACCTTCTCTTATCAACTGGCCTTCCAGGTATCCCAAGCTGCGCTCTGGCTTGTGTTCAGTGAATGCTGCCTCTTCTCTCTGGCCTGCCTTGCTGTCCCACACACTAGCTAACACTCACTCTCCTCCTGCCTTCTTCCTAACGACGGTGCATTTGAAAATCACGTGTTCCAAAAGGGACTGCTGCAAGTCACTTTCTAATCACTTGCGTCTCTCCTCCACATGCCCCGATCTGTGCTAATAGTCCTTCTCCTTCCTCCTGTGTTTTTCTCTCATTCTGACTGGCAGTCCCTTCACTACACCCGTTTTTCCCCTTTCCCCGCTCACATAGAATTGGCCAGTTGGGGGCAGTAGTGAGCACCTCACCAGCTCTCTGAGCCACTCTGCTCTTGGGCCAGACCAGCCAGCACCCGTCTGGCCACTTGCCTCCGTCCAGCCTCCTGGTTTTCAAGTTTCTTCATCTCCAAACCAGAAGTTAATGTGCAACAGTTAAATTTAGGGCATGTGGTTTTCAATGCAGACAAAACCCCCTATCGTTTCATTTTTAAGATTGGGGGCAGGGAGAGGCAGAAGAAGCAAGACGGAGCAAGTCCTGGGAAGGACAAAGCACCCATGTAGTGAGTTTGCAACGGCCACTTTGTTCTCGGCAGGGACAACACGCAGATTGTCTCTGATCAGAAGCACACATTCCACAGGGAACTCCAACCACATTTCAGTCTTCTTTTGATTAGCAAAGGTCATAAATGTGAAAACTTCCGCCACTGGCTGGTCTCTGGGAAAAATAACAATTCAGAATGCCCTCTGTCCCCAAGCTGTTCATCGTCACCACCTTTTATGTGTGTCTTTGATTGTTCTTTAATGAGGCATACATGGATACCCTGCCTCTTATGTTTAAAACATGTAGGAGTTTATATCGAATTTGGCAGGGTGTACTTGTCATTAAAGAAACCGTTTTTTTCTCATAAAGCGTACATTATAAATAGTTACTTTTGCTGACTAGTCGTAAGTAAATAAAAGCCCTCCAATTCTCTAGGAAATCACGTTTCCCGCTCCACAAGCACTCTCTACTCTTTGAAGGTTACCTCAGTCTGTAATCCGTCCTCACACCGTTCGAATGGTTTCTCCCTTCTCACCACGTGGCATTTCGAAAAGGAAAAATCAGAACTGGCTAACCCTATTAAGTGTTTACTCTTTGCTAAGCACTAAGCCATGTGCTCTGCAAACATCACATGGCATTATGTCACTCTTATGTCCATTTAAAAGGCAAAGCAACTGAGGCTTACGAAGGGCAGCTAGAGCTGGCTGAGCCGGGATCTGGACAGGGGACCCACAGCCAGAGCTTTCGGATGTTTTGCTTCTGCAGCTTTTGAAAAGAATTTCTATTTTGCTCTCAGATATTTCAATAACTCTGGAAACAGCTGGAGCAATCTCTCAGTAGATGAGTTCTCAACTAAGGACATAACAGCAGTCCAGAGGGGGAAAAATGTTCACTTCAGTAATTCTTTCAACAAATGTCTTTTCTCTAACATTCTTTTGGTGCTACACTTGTTAGTAATGATGTGCAAACTGGCCACATGTCCTATGAGTGAATGAATGTAGTTTGCATTGCATGCAAAAGCTTATGAATGTTTGTTTAGTCAGGTGCTTCAAAAGACAGATGGTTGTTTGTTGTGTCTTGAGCTCAATAGAAAACATAAATAATCACGAATGCTCTTACATTTCCAGGAGACCATGAGATTGTAGCGTTTGGTTGATAGGTGTATGTCTCCCTGCAGACTCCCCCATGGTCCCTGTATGGGAGTCTGTACATGCAGAAAGCTTATGATTCAAGGCGCCGGCCTCATTGTGCACGCTGGTGGTGCATATTAATGAATTTTTCTGTATCTGCTGGGCATTTATTTGGTCAGAAGGGACCCACTCTCCCCCAGGATAGCATCTGACCCCTCTCAGCTTCCTAGGGGATAGAGTTCGTTTTGCACCACATGGTATACACAGGGAAATTTGCAAACTCAGTTCAAAATCATTCATCTGGCAAGCAGCGGGTTTCTGACATTAGACACCAAAATGCTTTTTCGCAAGCTGTTCTCTCGTTGAGCTGGTTTCCATTCACTGAGCATCTGTGACCCACGCATGCTTTCTTCCCATTAAGCATTACTGCACTTTGCGACTTAAATCCTTTTTCTTTCTTAAAGAGTTAAGGTTAGAGAAAAATTGGTGAAAGAGGAGAGTGCTCGCGACAGCCCCGACCTCGCCTCAGAGCCCTTAACTCAGAGGAGACAGCAGCCGGCGCCGGCGCACTACCTGTCCTTTCAGTCGGAACACTCGGCCTTCGATCGGGTCGCCAGCAAGGCGGCGAGCTCTGCACGACAGCCGAGCCGCGGCCACGTCCAGCCAGCCGACCCTGGTCACGCCGCCAAGCTGGCGACGGCGGAAAGCCCAGAAGACGTATCCGAGTGCAGCTGGGTGGGATCAGCCCCCCAGAACATCGCAGAACCTCCCGCCTGGAAGGTGGCAGAAGGTGAGAGAAGGGACGCGCCAGCTCTGCGTGTCCGTGAACCCAGAGCAGAGGGAGATGTGCTCTTCGCTGAAGCTCCTGAGAAAAGTGGGAAAGCCCTTTCGGCTTTGCAGGAGGATGGGTTTGCAAGAAGCCACGAAGACCCTTCTGGAAAGGAGGACTTTGGTCAGCCGGCTGTTAGCACAGTCCCCTTAGAACGTCAGAAGGAACGAGAAAGCGCGTCGCAGCCAGCCCGGGCTCAGCAGCAGCCCGCAGAGAGAATGGGCAGGAGCGAAATGGTGTTGTACGTGCAGAACGAGCCCGTGTCCCAGGGAGCCACGCTGACCACCGGTCACAGAAAGAAGCACAAGGTCCTCACGCGCTCACTGTCTGACTACACGGGGCCCCCTCAGCTCCAGGCCCCGCCGCGCAATGACCCCGCGTCCACACCGAAGCTGGAGCCGCAGGGCTCCAAGGCTGAAGGGCCGTCTGGGGACGTCGGCGTGCCGGACACAAAGGTCTCTGTCGCCCAGCTGCGAAGTATGTTTCTGGAGTCCGCCAACGCCTGCAAGAGACCTGAACTGTAGGTGGTGTTTCAGACGTCCCCCTGATGTGTCGCTTGCACGTCCCTGGCAGAATGGTTCACGTCTCAACTTGTGCCGCGTCCTGCGTTGAATCGTATTGGCTTAGCTCACAAGCGTGTGCAGGGCACCTGGACAGGAAATGGCTCAAAACACTACCATTCTGCTTCTGCCTACTAACGGGGAGCGGGTGGATTGGGTTGCTGGGATGTTCCACCGCCTTGCGTGCATGGGAGAGGCATGCAGAGGGCTCTCGCGGTGTCTGTGCCTTGACTCATGGAGACGCATAAACCTTTGCTTTGTTCCCTTTCTCTGTCTCCCGTTTCCCCCCACGTACTGCCTGCCCTGGGATCTAAAAGCCAATCGCGGGTGCAGAGGCCGCCCGGCGGAGCTGGCAGTGTGGACCGGGAAAGGGGGTCCCGGAGACCACGGCGCTATTTCTCTCCTGGCGAAAGTAGAAAAACTTCTGAGAGATTTAGAACTCAACCTATAACCTCAGCAGAACGAAAGGAATCGGATAGGTAGGCGTGTGTCTGTGTGGTTTCCTCGTCTAGGAACGTAAGGGAAATAATGCAGGATTTGTATGATTTTTACCACACTGGTGGTCCTGATTTTGTTTACATAGGACAAGGTAGATTCCAAAATTCTTCCATCTAATCTATAGGGGATATTTATTTGTCTTATTTAAAGGTATTTTTAAAGAATATTGGCCTTTACAATGGTATCACAGTACCTGCACAATTTTAAATTGCAGTCAGATGGTAAGAAGTAAGAAACACTGTTTTTCTTCATTTAATGTTTTCAATTTTTTTACATTCATGTTAAATTAGAATCCAAATTGAGTGTCCACCAAATTTTACAGTGAAAATAACTAAGGAATTTGGTATTCATGTTATAAATGTCTGCCTACTTGTATTGGAGATTCATATTTAATTGTCATATGTTGTTGCGTGATAATGGTAGGGTTTGTCTGCAAACTTATCACCAGTCGTGTTTGATGAGTTGTACTCGGTCCTGGTTTTTCTCCACAAGGGTGCACTTGGCCGGGGTTGTGTGCACACGCTCCACGGCACCTGTGACGATCGTGCGTGTGTATTCTCAGCTAGAACTTCCGCCGGGAGGATGTTCCTTAGGAGAGCTTCGTTGTGTTTTTATTCTTACTTTTAAAATGATGTTTTATTTGGATCATCCACTCCCACCAGCTAATTTTCATTATTATTTGCCAACATCTCCCCTAGGTGTACTTCGCATTCAGAAATGCCAACCGTGGACGGCAAGTATCTGTTTTTCTTTTTCCTTCTTCTTTGTCATCTCATCTAGATTAGATCTAAATAAGGAGAATTTAGGCTTTTTGAGAGAATAAGTTGATGGAGTATATCAATTTCTTCCTTTTCTGCAGGTTTTCTTTCTGTGAACGTAATAAAACCTAGTTGAGCTTTTCAGATGAGCTTTCCCCAGATCTTGAGAAGAGTTAGAGAGTCAATGGCGTGAACAGTATCAAAACAACTGAACTGAACCCAAGAAGCAGGTTTTTCTTGTTGCCATTGCTATTTAAAAATAAGAGAAATTCCCTCCACAAAATCTATTCTTAAATCTCAATAAGAGGAAAAATTATGGTAGAAATCGCTGTCTGGGCAGTTTGACTTGAATTGCAATGGAAGTTGGCACCTTTTCACTGAGCAGAAAGAGTGGGTCCCCCACAAAGGGAAAGTGTCGCCAGTTGTGATTTCGTTATGTTGATAGTGCATCTGTGCCTGTAGTCAAAGGATTGCCAGGTCAGGCTTGGAAAGCTTTTCGGAGACTTGACTTACATTTGCTGATGATGTCGTTTTCTGTGTGTGGCTCCTCGCAGATGAGGAAAAGGTGGATGAACGAGCCAAGCTGAGTGTCGCTGCCAAGAGGCTGCTTTTCAGGGTAAGGTGTGCTGACGCGCGTGGTCAGAAATGGTGACCCCTGGGGGTGGTGGCTCGCTCCTGGAGTCCCAGCTACTCAGGAGGGCCAGGCGGGGGGATCGCCTGAGGCCGGGAGTTTGAGGCCAGCCTGGGCAACACAGTGAGACCCCCATATCAAAAAAAAAAGAAAGAATGAAAGAGAGAGAGAAAGAAAGAGGGAGAGAGAGAAGGAAGAGGGAGAGAGGGAAGGGGGGAAGGGGAAAGGGGAAGGAAAGGAAAAGAAAGGAAGAAATTATTACCCTCCCAGAGGGAGACTCCCCGGCTCCAGCCTACTCCGTGCACCTCTGGGTACTCTACTGCCCTCCCCGTTCTGCCCCTGTTGTCTCCCACTCTGTGACTGGTTCGAGCCACCCGTTAGCATGACCTGAGTGTACACTTGTGACGATGATACCCAGCTGTCACCAGAGCCGCTCGTTTAGGTCCTAAGGGAGAACAGACTATAGACCTTCTACTACCCTGATTCCCCTCCCTTGAATTTATAAGGATTCGACAATGTTTCTATCCTAGGAAATGGAAAAATCCTTTGATGAACAAAACGTTCCAAAGCGACGCTCGAGAAACGCAGCCGTGGAGCAGAGGCTGCGCCGTCTGCAGGACAGGTCCCTCACCCAGCCCATCACCACCGAGGAGGTGGTCATCGCAGCCACGTGAGTCCCTGTCAGGATTTCTTGGCCTTAGCTGTAATGTCTTCTTAAGGGAAAAAAAAAAAATTAAAGAGTTTTAAATAAAAACGAAATGCTGGGGAGATGGTATAGCTAGAAGCCACAGAGAAGTTGGTATTTAGGGATTTTGTTCACTGCAGTCTGTCTAGACTTTGCAATTGTATCTCTCAGAGAAACATGAGAAAAATTTTGTCAGTTCGTTTTTGTCTATGCATATCGGGTTTTTTCAAATCTCTTTTACAATGGAAAATGTAAAAGACGAAAGTAGCTGGATTCGTAGGACGAAGCCCAGCTTGCACAGCGATCACTTCCTGGCCAGTCCGCTCTGCCTGCGTCCCCTTCACGCCCCTCGCTTCCCGCACTGCTTCCAAACAACTCCACACATCTTGTCGTTTCATCGATCACTATTTCAGAATGTATCTGTAAAAGATAAGGACTTGTTTTGTTTTTAAGTAATCACCAACAATTTTTAAAAAATTGATTGGCTGTTTGATAGCTTTCTAAACTGCAGGGAGTCAGGTTCCAACATGTTCCAGTGTGTTCGAATCCATTTCCCAGAGTGATTCATGCAGAGATACTTGATTCAATCAAGTGAACATTTTTGTCAGCTTTGTAAAAATTGTTTTTTGTGCCTGACTTGGACACACACACACACACACACACACACACACACACACCCTTCCTTTTAAAAAAAAAGGAAGCTCATGTCAGGCAGGGCAGACTTCCCGGGAGGCCCGTGTGCCAAGGCCACTCTGACCTGCTGCAGAATCAGCCGCCCGCGCTTTCTCCCAGTTTTCCCTCAATATCTCAACGCATGTATGGATAAGCACATTCTCGCATTCATTAGGAACTCTCGGAAAATTCATTTGTTTTTTAAAATATATACATTTGAATGGCGAGTGTGAAATAGGCAGCAGCTCCCCGTGGGAGCAAAACAGTGAACGTGAGGAAAGCCGCCTCCCGTGAAGGCTCAGCGCAGCCGCCCTGATGGGCTTCCACGGATCGCACGAGGACGCTGATTCTGTTAAACATTAGATCGAGAACAACATTCTAAAACGGCGTCCTCTACTGATTTGTGGATGGCTAGTAGTAGCTTTTTTTAGTTATTTTTTTAAAACCGGGACATGTATTCTGAAGACAGAGTAACTTCCTTCCAAGCTCAACACTTGCTCCTCCTCCATTTGCTTTGGTGGCCTCTGTCTCTTATTTCCTGAGTCCGTACTTGCTTTTCAAGTTCTTTTGTGATTTTTCCCCCCAAAGTAATTAGCACATAATTTTGTTAAAATTTTTGATTTAACGTTCCTGAATTGAAAACTGTGCTGTTCCTTAATGCTTCTTTTCTTCTCTCTCCTTATGAATGTTTCTTCTTTGGCAATTGCTTTTAAAGTGAACCTATCCCTGCTTCGTGTTCTGGGGGCGGCCGCCCTGTCATGGCGAGACATCCTAGTCCCACTGTAGCTAGGAGCACTGTGCAGCCTGCCAGGTACCGGACAGAGTTGCTGCGGCGGCACCGGCGCGAAGGTGCCGGACCGCAGATGCATCTGAGAGTCTCGAATGCCTTTCGTTTGTCTGAAAACAAGTCAGTGCAGTGAGTCGTTCCCGGAATGTGTGGCATTTTGTTTTGTCAGAGTGCAAGATACTGATAACTTCGTGTGAGCCTGCTGGGGAAAACCTTTCGTCTCTCTGCTTATGTCGTGTGTTGGAGCTGGCATCCCACTAACTCACTTACCCATTTGTTTGTTTTTCATAATAATGGTCGTCCCTAAAAAATTTTCATTCTTCATCTAAAACACTGGCACTTCACAAAGATGAATAGAAAAATGGGGCCTTCACAGGAATGTTGAAATGACGATAAGACCCAGTTTTTTAAAACACATATAGGCACAAATACTTGTGAAGAAAACAGTCCTCCCTGTTTCTGATTTATAGGGAGACAATGCTGGTATAGTTTGGGGTTGGGAAAATAACAACTGAAAGCGTCTGAATGTAGATGTTTGAGTGTCATGTTTTAAATTGTGGCGTTTTACAATTATGTCCTTAAACCATGTCACTGTCCCCTTTATTTCACTGTTATGAGCCCAAACACCAGGCTATATACAATGACAGTGCAGGACTAAAGCTGGCACAACCCAGAGGCAGGGATCTCTCCGGGGAAGTGGGTTTCCTCGCCCTCCCAGTTAGCTGCACCGAGCCAAGGAGGACGCCGAGGCTCAGGTGGCCTTTGCCGGCAGCCTCATTACATACCTGGGACCCTGCTCTCTGGTCTGGGACAGCTTGTGAATTGGCCATTAATTGGGGTCAAGGCAGAATACACTTCTTGCTAGACCTGAGAATTGGATTTGCCGGTGGCAGAAAGCAGCCTTGCAAACCTTTCGAGATTCACAGGGACCACATACACTGGAAGCCCTCTTCTTCTAGCTGGAAGTTGGAGGGATTTATAATTGCCTGGAATTGTCTTCATTTTCCTGGTTACTGGGAATTACAGATTTAAGTACCTTTTAAAAAACTGGTGGAAACCTGGGAGAGAAAATGCTACACTGAAAGAGTGAAAGAATCTTTAAAATTAAACCATTTGTGTTGAGCGAGTGAAAATCAAAACCCTATGTCAGGCCGGGCACGGTGGCTCATGCCCGTAATCCCAGCACTCTGGGAGGCCAAGGCGGGCGGATCATTTGAGCTCAGGAGTTCGAGACCAGCCTGAGAAAGAGCGAGACCCTGTCTCTACTAAAAATAGAAAGAGATTAGCCGGACAACTAAAAATAGAAAAAATTAGCCAGGCATGGTGGCTCATGCCTGTAGTCCCAGCTACTCGGGAGGCTGAGGCAGAAGGATCGCTTGAGCCCAGGAGTTTGAGGTTGCTGTGAGCTAGGCTGACGCCACGGCACTCTAGCCCAGGCAAGAGAGTGAGACTCTGTCTCAAAAAAAACCCATGTCGTAGATTGTTATTAGCAGGTGAATATTTTGTTTCCTAATTATTTACAATGAAAAGACCACCTTCTGACCCACATCTTTAGATGATGTCTAACTATGCCCTATGCACTGCTTTTAGCCTTATTTAGAATATTATGATACTAACAATATGACTTCTCTGTGTTAGATAAGGTATATCTAGGCGGATGTTGGTTTCTCAAATAGGAAATTCAGTTTTTACGAATAATTCAGAGCTAAAAATCTGCTTTCCGTAGAATTGATGTTTGTGTTCCATGCCTGCCCCGCTAGTCACAGTCCTGTTTAATCACTAAACTGTCTGCCCCTGTCCTAAATCTGTGGAGGGAAAAATAAGCCCTTTGCAAAACTAAGTGACACTTTGAAGAAAGTTAACATGTCAAATTTGTTTGTTTTTCTCGTGTTACCGACGTTTTATTCCTTTCAGATTACAGGCATCTGCTCACCAAAAGGCTTCAGCCAGAGACCAGACGAATGAGGTCAGAGATTCCGCTGAACCAGGAGAACCTGATTCCTCCACTCTGAGCTTAGCAGAGAAGTTGGCCTTGTTTAACAAATTGTCCCAGCCGGTCTCAAAAGCTATTTCTACCCGAAACAGAATAGACGTGAGACAGAGGAGAATGAACGCCCGCTACCAGACGCAGCCGGTCACCCTTGGAGAGGTGGAACAGGTGGGTGCCCTGTGACCTGACTCCGGTTAGCATGTGTATTCTTAGAACGTAGCGGCGCAGAATTACTCTTCGGTTAGTGATACCATTATGGGGACCCGCTGGCAGACTGCGTCACCTGTAGGTGATTTGGTAATAACGTCATTCCTAAGAAAGATAACCACGGCAAGTATGCTTCTCTTTTCTTGTTTGCATAATTTGCTTACCGAAGTCATCTGGAGTGAGCCCCTTTTGGAGAGAAAGATAGGATGTACAACCTGCCTTGCACCCAGTTGGATTTTGTTTAATGAGACATGTTACATGACCACGTCCAGGAATGATTTTCCACTAAGACAGGCAGTGGCGCTGCATATAATGTAGTGTTTCCGTTTATGTCAGTTCATAAAGCAGGGTTTATGTAGACAATGTTTTTAATCAGCTTTTTGCTTTTTAACTGTGTCCCTCCCAGGTGCAAAGTGGGAAGCTCATTCCTTTCTCACCTACCGTTAGCACATCTGTGTCCACGGTGGCATCTGCGGTCGCTCCAATGTATGCAGGGGATCTTCGGACAAAGCCACCCCTTGATGACAATACAAGTGCCACTGACTATAAGTTTCCTTCTTCACTAGAAAATTCAGACTCTCCAGTTAGAAGCATTCTCAAATCACAAGTTTGGCAGCCTTTGGTAGAGGATGGTGGAAACAAAGGGACGTTGAGAGAATTTGGAGAGACAGAAGGCAGGAGAGCTTTGGCAGGTGGAGACGGTGGTGTGAAGAAGTACGGGTCCCTGGAGGAGGCAGAGCCAACCCGCCCCGTCTTTAGCAGAGTCAGGGAAGGAGACGTCCACAAGGAGCCTAGATGTGCTGTTCCAAGGAAAGGGAGCCTGGAGCTGGCTCACCCTCCCAGCGCCCACCTTGCCCACGAGCTGGAAGGATTTTCCACTGTGAAAACTAATGCACAAGGGAGCTCGGACTTGAAGGACAGGCAGCCCTTTGAAGAGAAGGTGGACGTGGAGAATGGCATAAAAAGGAAGTTTTCTCTGAGAGGTAAATTACTACTGCTTCTAAAGTGTTAGAAAGCAGCTGGGTTTTAGTTTCTGCTTGACTTGTTGCACGTGTTTGCGATTGCTTTTAACTAAATTACAAAGGCAGTTTACGACTAGGCTTGGTGGAAGGTTCGGTGTGAGTTTTGCTCTTCCCCAGACTTCTCTTCCTCCTGAGTCGGCATTTCCAGGGCGTGAATCAAGTTCTAAGCAACAGAAGTGCCTGAGGCCCTTTCACACGTCCCGATAAGGGTTTGGGATGACTTGGTCACGTCGCCTCACACGACAGCCTTGTGAGCCACTTGGTGCTTTCGGCCCCTTTTAAAGTTGATGACGCAAAGGGTCCAGGGCTGGGTGAGCTCAGGAAGCGAGGACTTGAACCCAGTTTGTGGATTTGGAGACTGTTTCCTTCCACGCTGTTCTGCAGGCAACAGCTATATTGCGTGGGACTTTAATCCTCTTTCTACCTTTGCATAAACTTATAGCAGGGCTTTGGGTTTGTGAATGTGGCACATTGGAGAGTTAAAGTGTTACTTTGGAGAAGGGGGAGCATTCTGCATGTAGCGAATAGTTAAAGCCGACTTCCTGTGTCTTGCACATAGGAGACAGACCAATTGTCAGCAGCGTTTTGCTGTGTGGGCAATCGGCTGGGAAGTTCGGTTTCCCACAGAGCATAGCAAGCTGCAGATTTGCATAAACCCACGTGGGTTGGGTGACCCGCCGTGCGCCCACGGATTGAACTCCCAGGGGCTGCAGCGCCGAGGGATGCATAGCGGAAGGGTGTTTGCCCGAGGAGTAAGTGCTGATGCTGCGCCTTTCCTTCCCGGCCGCAGAGTTCGGGGAGCCCGCTTCCGAGCAGAAGGGGACAGCTGCTGGGAAAGCCGTCGCTCAGACTGCAACCCCCATGTCCTGGAGGCAGCAGGATTCTCCAGAACAAGGGCAGGAGAAGCACTACAAGAATCCGTGCGCGATGTTTGCTGCTGGAGAGATCAAAGCTCCCACGGGGGAGAGCATCCTTGATTCGCCCAGCAAAACCATGTCCATTAAAGAAAGGTAATGAGATTTGCCAACTGAAAAGCGATTCCCTGGGGGAGGAGCTTATAACTTGCTTTTAGGAATAGATTGGGGTGTTGGGCAGAGAGATGAAGTCCCGACTTCGGCTACGTAAGGGGACGTGCTGTTACTCTAGAATAATCCTGGGACTCCGAGGTATTTGAGAGTAGCCTGCGTTTGCCCCAGCTCTGGTCTGGCAATGCTGAAGGGGCCATTTCAGACTCAGATGAAGAAACAAACAGAAACAGACTTTTGCTCGCTTCATTTGTTTGGCTTCACTGTCCCGTTGCTAGTTTATATCAAATTCCTTGACTGACTGTGTCGGGAGCTGAGATCCTGGCTGTTTCCCTTTCAGATGCCTGTGGCGCAAACCGAGTGCACAGTCCGCTTGTGACTTTGTGTAAAACGTATGCAGAGGGAATGAAGATAAATGTATATATGGGGTCCACATATTTGGGATTAGAATCCAAGTTTTGTTTACTTTACAGAAAGTAAAATGAATGCTTTCTCTGAACTCCAGTTAGAAATTTTATACCAGGTAATAGCTATGAAAGATTACATTTGAGTGTCAAATAACACTAACCTCATTTCATTCAAAAGAATGGTGTAGGATTCAAAGGATACGTTTAAATGGGACAGATGCAGAGAGTCGGAACTAAATTATTTTCGGGATGTGTTTGCCTGGTTAACCCTTAACCACATCGAATTAAGCAGCAAAGATGCAGTAGTGATAGGAAGGCTCGGGGAAGACATCACGGCCACTCCCCGGTAGTAGCAGCAGAACCGTGTCCGCCACATGGAAGTTTCCTTGCTCTGCCAGGCGCTGACGCTCTTATTTTTCTAGATACATTTCAAACTGCCTAAGACTATATATATCAAACCACAGTGAAAATTCTTTCTGTTTTTCAAGCCAAGATCTTTGAACATTATTTATCAAGTGTTAGATAGACGGAGCCTTTTTCAACTGACAAATTGATAAGATTCTTCAATCTTATTTGTTTTCTCCTTTATTTACAATTCATGATAAATTAGACCTGCTGTGCAGAGGGGGCATAGGAAAGAGGTCAGTCAGATAAAAGGAGTGATGTCTTCAATCAGGGAAGCAGTTTGGCCTGTCCTGGCCTGAAGTCCTTCACGAAACCTGGGCTCAGAGAGCTTTTGATCCCAGAGATCCAAGCATTGATACCTGGATAGGTGAGGAGGAAGAGGCATCATTTAAGGAAATTAATGATAAGTATCACTTATACACAAGTTCTGATGTTTTATACATCAGAATATATTCCTGGGTAAAATCCCAGTAAAATCCCAGTGAGAAATAGTAATATTATGCCCACTTTTTTTCAAAGTCTTTTAAAAGAGACTCCCCATCTTTGGGTATATTCTGTCTGTTGGGACTTAGAACTTTTGATGACGTTCTGTGTCTATCCACTATGCAATAATTCTTGGCTTACTTGCCTGTTTGTAGGAAATTTTGGTTGATCTATATCTTTCTGAAAGCAGTTGTAATTCTAATCCTACTGTAGAATTCTCATTTTTAAAAATGTGAGGTACCGTAAAGGTGCAGCCTCTTACCCCGGGCTTTGTGGACACCCACGCAGTTCAGGAATGGCCGCGAGGTTTCCGTGAGCTGCCTGGGAGCACGTTCCGACTCGAAGGTGTGCGTGCAGACGAGCAGAAACCGTGACTTACAGCAGTCTCAGAGAGGGTCCTGACCCCAGTCTGCCTGGCATCGTGATAGTATGAATGCTTGCTAAATATTCAGCTATTCAGTTTATTTGTTAAAATATAGGAAAGGATGAGGGATGCTTTATTTAGCAGCTATGTTTGTAGTAAATTATGCTAATACAAAATACGTTGCAGTGGTCTTTCCCCCGACCTTGACAGCACTCTTCCTTGTGCTTTGCTGAAAATAACTAAATGATGTATTTTTGCAATCCATCTGTGACAGCTTTTCTCTAAGTGGGGCTTTAATTTCTCTAGTTTTTTAAAACGAAATAATGAAGCTTGACCTATTTAAAATAAGAACGTTATTCATATACTGATTTGGCTTCACTTTTCTTTCTTGAGGTGAGATAAAATCCTGAGACTTTCAGACTTTGTTCTAACCACCTCTGACTGCCTCATTTTACCAAAGGAGTCCCCAGGGCCACGTAGTGAGTAGAACTGACCCAGGCTGGTCTCTGGCTCCCCATCCCCATGGTGACATTGCAGTGTATTGAGATGACTGTCACAGCAGGAGAATAAGGACAGAAATTCCAGCTAGACAGCAGTGTCAGATTCACCTGTCTTCTCTATTAATGTTTTTCAATTTCCGTGTTCTTTTCATTTCTTCTTTCAATCACCCTTTCAATTCCAAATTTCGGATTTTAAGAAATAGAGCCAGGAGTTTACATATTTCCTTTGCCATTTCTGCTAAATAGCTGCCCCCTAAGGCGTGCAAACCTTGTAGCATCAGTCTCTCCTCTGAGTGTCCCCAAGTGTCATATACTGCCTCTGGCATTTCAAGTGTGGTATCTCATTTAGTGCTGAGGACAACACTAGGAGGAGGCAATATTATAGGTAAAAAATGTAGATAAAAAGTGTAGAACTAAGAAATTATAGGAAATTCTCCATATACTCCTATTTTAGAATATGTGTGATGCTTAAGGAAACATATCTAAAGTTCTTTTTCTTTTTTTGTCTTCTCTGACATCTAGAACGTCAAGTTTGAGCTGTAAGCAGCATGAAACTTAGTGGCAATCTGCCTTTTTCCACTGGATAATAAAACTGCTATTTCATAACTGTCTAAAGGATTTGTGTTTACACTGTCCCTGTTTGGAAACTGTTTTGAGAAGCTTTATGAATCAAATAATTCTTACGTTATTTAGGGATGAAATTGTTGATACTTCTTTAAAAGTACATTAGGACTTTAGAAACCTTATTTCCTCAATTGTTGAAACAACAGCATCAGAGCTTTCACGTTTGGGGGAGAAGACTTCTGGAAAAGGGAGAAGGAGCGATTCCTTCACGTGGGGGAATTGGTGGAGTGTAGGAACGTGGTGGGACTCCCCGAACCCACCTCCACCTCTCCCCAGCCTGTGGGATTCTGCCCTCGAGGGGCCACCTGAGGTCCCTGGTGTCCCTGCGTGCCCGTCCATCCTCCCTCCCGTGCTCTGCCCAGCCCGGGCTGTGTTCACGTTTTTCCAGCCAACTCAGGGTTCTGGCCTTGTAGCTGGGCAACCTCAGCCGCTAGAGGGCCCCGGGTTTATGTGACAGTGGGGACCGAGCTCTGCTGCCCCTTTGCCCCCTCCTTTTCTGATCTTTGATTTGCCCCCATTACAAGACACCTCATTCACCCGCCAACCTGCAAAGTCGCCAGGAGCAAGATCTCGTGTGAGTGCTGATCTCCGCTCTGCAGCCCCCTCTGAAATCTGCGGGGTGCCTGTGGCTCTTTGAAATGAAGGAAGGTTTCTAAAGAGAGAGAGAGAGAGAAAAAAAACACTTAAACCACTTTATTTAATATTAGGAGCCCTTGGTTGGCCTGTCCCATATTTGACCCAGTCCTGACGGCTATGGGCCTGAAGTCCTTGTTGTCACCATGCAGGGCTCGCAGGGCAGAATTCCCGGCCAACCTAGTCCAGGCTGTGGCAAGAGGTGGAGACGTTTCCCAGGGTGGCCTGGCAGGCACGTGTCCCGGCGGCCCAGGCCAGCCCTCGGGTGAGGAGGCGAACGCGCCGCTCTCTGGGTGCGCAGCCCCGGACTGGGCACGTGCCCCGGCTCCCAGCGCCGCAGGCCTGCACATAGCACTTGGGCTTGGCAGATGTTGGAAGCGCTGACAGTTGTTTGAACTGCACGGCAGGAGTTTGTGCCCTGGGTGGGGCAGACACTTAGCGTCCTCGACCTCTCAGCACGGAGGTCTGCGGCGAGTTGGAGGGCCTTGGGATCGCAGGAGGAGGGATCGCAGGAGGAGGGAACGCTTTGGAAAGGTCTCCTGCTTTCCTTAGCTTCTCGAACGCCAAGCAGGAAACCTAATGGGACGGGAATAACACGTTTAAGTTTTGGTGTGTGTTATTTTAAAGTTATTCATCACTTGTACTCTGTCGGCTAGGGCTGGGTCCAAGGACCATGTGGGCTCAATCGAAGCAGTTTCTTCCATGTTATTTTGGTTACTCTGTAGTCTTTGGAAGCCCTGACTGATGACCCTGCCAACACATCTAGAAGCAGCATTTCAGGGCTGTGGAATGGAGGAATTCTTTGAAGGCCATCCCATGGGGAAGGGGGTGGACATTGTAAGAAAGCCAGACAACTGTGCTCTTCCTGAAGCAGCAGGAGAAAGACATGTCTGGTCAGCAGATACACTAATGCAGGGAAATGAGCTGTGCGCCGGGAAGCAAGGGCCACACTCCCTTCTCTCTGCCCCCAACGTGCGGTGTGACCTCAGTCAACGAAATCTTTGACCTGCACGTGCCGTGTTCCTTGTCTGTCAGATGGGGGTGACGACGTCAGATTCCTCAGAGGGTGCTGTGCAGACCTGCAGACTGGAAGGTGGACTGTGCCGTGATTCTAGATCCTACCATTTGATTTGTTCCAAGTCAGTTTTAGATTCCCCAAAGCAGCCACCAGGGAGCCATGCGATTATTTAGGTGACATCATTGCCCCAGACTTCGGGAGCTTCTTTTTGAGAAGATTTTCAAAGACTGTAGCTCGTTATTTGTAATAAACAAATCATGAGAGTGAATTTGATTTTTTAAAAAATTCTCTTAAATCATTTGGAATCCAATTGCATTAACACGGTGGAGGGTCAAGGTGAGGAACTACTGGCCTGTAGTGGTTGTAGAGATGAAGGAAGAGGCAGAAGCTGGTTCCGAGGCCCGTTTGCAAGGTGACTGTCAGTGAGACAAGATCGGAAGTACTTCCTCATTCGGGTATTGAATACCGACCTGGACAGTCTCTTTCATTGATGCTTTGAAACCTTTGGTAGCTCTAATGCAGCATGCAAATCCTAATTATTTCTTTCAAAGATTTGATTTTGTCAGATTCCTTTCTCTTATTAGAATAAAACTGACTCGTTCAAAATAATTGGAGAAAAGCTGGCTCTTGGTCATTATACAGCGTGAAATGCTGCAGAGCGAAGCACTGAAAGGAATGTAGATTTTGTGTTCGCGTACACAACATTCGCTGCGTGCAGAGTGCTGTTAAACATCGTGGAATTACAGAATTTAGGACCTCGAGCCAAATGGGATCTGCCAGCACTCGAGAGCTTTCCTTCTGCCAGGTAGCAGAAAGAGAGTAGAAAGGAAGGGAGGGAAAGAAAGAGATTGGGGAAGGGGCTAGGTCCAGAGTTGGAGCTCCCACCTCTTTTGGCGAGTCCTTTTATTCATGGCTTGCTTTCCACTTTTTGACTGAACGAATAGACACATGTATGATTATGTACATTCGTAGATGTAAATGGATTCTTGATTAAATACTATAAAATTTATTTTCTTATTTGCTTAACAAAACTTTTACCATATGGTATATTTCATCCCATCTCCAATCGCATATTTAACGGAATAAGGAAACTTAGAGGAAGGGCCCTTAGAGAGCCTCTGGTCCAGGTCCTGATACGACGGATAAGCGCCAAGGCGCTCAGGTGATGTTCACGGCCAAACTGTGACCAGAGCTAGCGTGGTGCTTAAAAACACACAGTTACGAATTACCAGTGATGCCGACGAGACCTGGGTCCATCAGACCCGACGCAAAGCGAATGGGCTCTCATCTCTTTTCCCCCTAATCTTTCAGTCATTTCAGCATCAGCTCAGGTGAGTTTAATGATCACGACTTGTTTTGCCTTTCATCTCTCCCATGTTTGTTTGTCCAACTTAAATGTCTGAGACTTTCTCATTCATTATAATACGTTTGGCTGAAACAGCCCCATATTCATAAAAAACAACCTTTCACACATCGTAATATCCAAGCAACTTTATATCAAGTCACCCCCTAGATGAACTAAAGTAGGTTAGGTAACAATCTCCTTAATTAGATTCTTTTTTTATATATATCTTTCCCTTGAGGAAAGTTGAAGTAATGATTTTTTAAAAATGGGTTTGTAGAAAATAGTTTCTGTCTTAAGAAGATGGATTGGAAAGACCAAGTTCATCTAGGAAAAGAGCAGGGCTAAAAATACAGAAAGAGAAACAGTCATAAGCCTCGAATTTTACCCTTAATTGAAAGGGATGATATTAAGAGATCGTAAGTGCTTTGTAGCTTTATGTTTTTAAGCCCCCTTCCTCAGTATTTTCTGCAAGTAACTACCACACAGCCTTATCCTTTAGTGTTATCTCGCCAAGTGACCGGAAGGGGTCGCTAGAAGACATTGTTCTCTGGGGACGGTTACCTTGGTCACTTTTCTGCTCCCAGCCCAAGCGCACAGGAAAAACAGCCGTCCCTTTGCTGGAATGATGGTGCCTGTTTTATCTGGCAGCTCAGACTTCAGCTTTGTGTTTCTGTCAGCTGTAAAATCCTTGGGGCCACCTTAGAAAAGAGACTGTATTATTTTTCCAAACATATCTTCAGAATAAATGAAATTCCAGAAGTTAAAATGAGGTCCCTGTGGTCATTTATTGGCCAAAGACTTCCCACGTCCCTAAATACGGTTCCACGGCAAGTGAGAGTCGGTGCTGAACTCCTTCTGGCTGGCGTGTTTTCCTCCTAGGCTGGCACTGCTGAAGAAGAGCGGGGAGGAAGACTGGAGGAACAGACTCAGCAGGAAGCAGGAGTGCGGCAAGGCGTCGGCCACCAGCAGCCTGCACACCCAGGAAGCGGGGCAGTCGCTCACCAAGAAGGTAACGTTTTCCGCGGCGGGAAAAAGCACTGGCACTAACATCACGCTTGCGGGTGCATCCGAGAGCCGAGCACGTGTGACTTATCTAACTCCCGCTCTGCAAAGCTCTGGTGCGTCCTCGCCCGCAGGGCACACGCGGAAAGGCTGTCGCAGGGCAGCTGCAAGTGGTCAAGAGGTCAGGTCTGGTGATGCTGTCAAGCGGGGACCAGCCTGGCACACGTACTGCGTCCGCAAGCAGCGCCCACATTTTAAAGAGCGCGCTCTTTCTTCAGTTTAAAACCTAAGTGAAGCCTGGCTTTAGAACATTATTAAAGCCTTTATAATGAAAAAATTGAATTCACTGCTAACAGTTTATAATTTGCATATGAACTATGGACTCGATTTTCCTACTTGGAGATTTATAAATGTAAATATACAAAATGAGGACACATTTGTGGCCCATGAGTACCCAGTTCACAATTTTAAGCATGTTTCACGAGTAAGTGTGCCTTTTATTGAGAATGTACAGCAATATATGTTATAAGTTTAAATGAAGTTAAGTAACACATGGTGGTCTATACTAGCGAGCATTTCATATGCAGCAGTATTGACGAGTTGTTAAATTACAGATGTAATGATGTAATTTTGACCAGGTAGCGTACACCTTCAAACCTGATGGTGACTTACCTGCTGATTGGCCTAACAATTTGCAAACTCACACTCTGGCTGGGGGTAAAAATGACACACTGGTGACACACTCACCGGCCAATTTCTAGGATCAAAAGTCTTCAAATAGAAAACAAAAAAATGCTTCCAATTAGACGATCACCTGGACCCCTTCTAGTTCTAAATAAGTTAAGCATCTGTGGAAGAGAGAAATTATGAATGTGACGTTTATGCATTAGGAAACTTAAATAAAAATGAGACGTTCATACAGAACTATGGTCAGGATATCCTGCACTATTTTATATGATACTTCTGTGTCTTCATAGGTTACATTGGAGCGGCAGTTTGAATTCTCTTTTTTGAGACATACATGATGTTAAAGATACTAACTGAAGACACTTGATCCTCAGCCATTTGTAAAGTTCTCAGACATAACTAGACATTTTGAAAGCATACACAGGTGCATACTTTTTTCACATACCATGTGAAATTCAGATGTCGAGAATGAGATCCCAAAGTGAAAGAAAACTGGGTCCCTCAAATAATCTGCCCCCATGGCCCACAAATTTTATTCAAAATAATGTTGAAATCATGGGTTCAAACATAACTCTAGCACACACCTCATTAGCAGTAACCTGTCAACTAATATGCCATGGTGCCACACAGTGCTGGATATGTCGTTGGCCATTTGGGAAGCTACGAAGACTCCCCAGCCCCTCAGAAGCTAGAAGTCCCTTGGAACCAGGTGGAAACTAAAATGAAGGCAAAAAGCACAAAGAAAGGAATCCATATTCCTCGTAAATAGTGAAACAGGTACACAACCCACTTAGGAAAGTGAGGGATGATCTTAGGCAGTAAAAACCAGAAGGCTTTGAGTACAGGATGAGACCTGAACTTCCAGAGCACATGGCTAAGATTTGTGTGTTTGTTTGTTTGTTTGTTTGTTGAGACAGAGTCTCGTTCTGTCACCCAGGCTGGAGTGCAGTGGTATGATCATAGCTCACTGCAGCCTCCAACTCCTGGTCTTAAGCGATCCTCCCACCTCAGCCTCCCAAGTAGCTCCTGGGACTATAAGTGCATGCCACGATGCCCGCTAAGTTTTTTATTTTTTGTAGAGATGAGGTCTTGCTATGTTGCCCAGGCTGATCTTAAACTCCTGTGCTCAAGCGATCCTCCCACCTCAGCCTCCCAAAGTACCAGGATTACAGGCGTGAGCCATCATGCCCAGGAGGCTAAGATTTTTAGAAGGCAAGAGATGCCTGATTACGGCAGGTGCCCTTGGGGTAGAAACGCAGTAACCCAAAGCACTGGGCTCCAAGCATGCTTTGGGCTTGCGTGTGAAGTGCTGCCTTTGGGGTCATGGAGGCCACTGACGCTGGAGCAATAGCGAGCTCACGATTCCTCCTGCTCCGCAGGGGCCTAGTTCACTTTGGCCTGAGACAATAAGCTCTTTGAAGTTAAAATAAGCCAATCTACTTTTGCCTTTGTAATGACATTGGGAAATCTCAAGTTCTGTTGAGGTCAGATGGTTTGCAGATGGCCCCTGACATCCCCTTGGTTCACTGCTTTCCAAGGGCTGGCTGTGCACCTCAGTGACCCCTTTGCTGTGCTCAGATGTGGTAGGTGAGGTGCCTTAAACCTGGGCTGTCTCAAGGCAGTCCCCAAACAGCTGAGGAGCACTTGACAATGACCACTGCTTGCTGGGTGTCCGAGTGCGGCCTCAGAAAAGACACTCGGGACACGCGGTGCATGCAGATGGGAGCTCGCTGCATGGGGCCGCTCTAGGCTTGCTGAAGGGAGATGCCCGGGAGAGCAGGTGCTGGAACTTTCCATCTTTACCAGCAAGGGCGGAAAGGAGTCGGTTTTATGGTCAGTTCATCGCTTCACAGTTTCTAAGTTCCTTTTGTGTGCGTTAAACCTGGTCCCGGGAGTTGCAACCTGTGGGAACGTAGAAGAGGCAGCAGCACTAGAGGGTCCCTGTGAGCCCCTTCCATGGCTCCCGTGAAAATCCATGCAGCACAGAAGTCAGCACTGCCTGGTAACAATATAATGTCAGCCCCTGCCCTTAAGTAATTTTTAAATTTTCTAGTCACATTAAAAAAAAAAAAAAAAAAAGTAAAAGGTTGCCTTGAAAATCCATGATTGTTTTGTTTCCGTCAAAGGGTTGGTCCCAAAAGAAAACAGTGTGAGGTGCTGTAACCAGCACCTCATCTGGGGTCCTGTATGGTACGATTTGGTTGCCTTTCAGCCCAGGAATAGGTGGAGGGGACCCAAGCTAGAGTTTTCCCTTTTGTACTAAAAGATAAGTCTCTGGGAATGGGCAACTTGGGGGTTAGTTCCTTGCTTTCCAATTTTATCCCCTAAACACGAGGAGGATTGATGATTTGGGGCTTAAGAGCACTAATTATTTACCTAGGCTCTGTCCTGTCCTACGGGAAATCGTTCAGGTACTTTCTCCTGCCCCCACCACCACCTCTCTTATCTTTCTTCCGTTGTTGGTTTAGTCTAGGTCGGTGCTAACCTGACTTAAACGCTCGTGCGCAGGCGCAGCCGGGCGTGCCCCGCCGTCGTGTCAGTTTCCTCCAGAGCGACTCCTTCCGTCGGAGGGGGGAGGAGAAACAAATGACGCAAGGGCAAGCAGTGACCTGGCAGGAGTCTCGGTTACTGCTAAATGGCAGATCCGTATTCATTCCCCATGCCGGCCTGTTCTGCGTGGGCGCATCCATGGTGATGCCCAAGTTTTCGTGAAGATAGTTATTCAGTGTCTCAGACTTTTTCCAGGAAATAAAAATCCTTTACAGAGTTGCCCAGGAAAGCCCCACGTCTATTTCTGAGTTCCAGACAGGGATTTGCTGTCCTACGTGCTTCAGAAGTGAAGGGGTCAGTGAATCCAGCTAAGATCTGTGTCATCCCCAGAAAATGCAGGGAAGGTAAATCGGCCACATTCGTGTTCCAGTTGTCGCCGAAAGGGAAATGCCAAATCGCAGCTCAGGAGAATGAAGTCACTGTAAAGAGTGAGGTGGGGAGGCAGAGAAGGGCTGACGGGGCGACCCGTGAATCACAGATCGTCATCCTGCTGCTGGGGAGGGGGCCGCTTGACGCGTGTGCCACGCCGTGTGTGAGCATGTGCATGCGTGTGGTGGGGCGCAGGCACAAAACACTGGAAAATGATTGCGGTGCCCTAATGAGGCTCTTTCTTCCAATACTCTGCAATGTTTCCTATTTGTTTTAACCTGTAGGAAGAAGGAGGATTTACGGATGATAATGCCATTTCTAATCTGCTTTGGGTAAGCCTGACTCTAACATGGGCGTCCTCTAGATGGTAGCCAGAGCTACGCCTCACCACGTGAGAGCCCCTTGTGTGCACTCCCTGCTGGGTTGGGTTTTCTTACTTCTGCGCAAGGTACAGCCTTTGTCCAGGATGGAGAGCTGATCCTGTGTCCTTAAATTATTTTTTAATCATGTAATTAAAATGCTTTAAAGAAGATGGCATTTTATGTTAAAATATTTAAAACTGTCAGTGAAGTCATGGTTCTCCTCTCCGTAACTGACTGTCTTATATAAACTATAATAACTCATTTAATGACTGCATAAAACTGACTCAGGTATATTTACTGTGCTTGCATGGATTTATTTTAGCGTTAGCATTCAAGGAAAAAGTTTCTTGAAAAGAGAACTGAAATTGCAATGAGTCGATTAACATTCTGTTAGACAAATCATGGTTGTGTCTCTCTTCCGCCCCCCAACCCCAGCCTGCCCCACTGGGATAAACCTTCTCTTTTCACCTTTAATCCTCTTGCTTTGCTCTGTAGGAACCTGTATACGCTTCTACTTATTCTCCTGCTATACCTGCTGCCCATAAATACCTGTCTTTTGTATCTATTAATCAGGTGAGGAAATGCCTAGTAAGCCTCATTGCAATTTCTGAGCTGTAGGGAAGAACTTCTCTTTCATTTGGGGAAGTAACTCCTTTGCTGTGTTTCACTGGGAGATGGGGAGAGAGAGAGAGAGAGAGAGAGAGAGAGAGTGTGTGTGTGTGTGTGTGTGTGTGTATGTGCGCATGTGTGTGTGTGTGTGTGTGTATTTAATCGGTTCTTCATATATTTGGGGTAGTCGCACACACTGCATCCCCGGCCCAGACTTCCAGGCAGACCTGGTGGTGTTCATTCACCCCACAGTCATGAAACCTGTTTCAGAGGAAAGTGTCCCCGTGCAGTCTCCAAGCTTTACGTCCTAGTCCGGTCAGGAGCCTGAGAAATGCGGCAGAGTGTCTTTGTTCCAGCAAAGGCCGTCCGACATGAGCCGGTCCCAATGGCCCTATTAAAATGAGGCACCACAGTCCCCTGCCCCCTCCCCCCATCCTCACTGCACCCCAGCTGAACCCCACCCCAGAGGGGAGACCTGGCTGGGGCTGAGAAACTTGTGGGTGAATGAGGTGTGATCATTTTTAGAGCTGAAAAGGTTAACGGTATTTTTCATTCCCCTTGGAACGTTCGTGATGTCAAAAATATCTCTGCTAAGAGGCTGCATCCACTTTTCCTTGAACCGCAGGTTCTCTTCTCCCTCTGGGGGGGACCTCACCAGGTCACTTCCCTCTCAGGGCCTCTGTCCCCTCATCAGGTTGCATCTGTTCCTTTAGGACCAGGCATTGTTGCACGAGAGGCATTGTCACACGAGAGGCTCAGGGTTTCACACAGGATGCTGACAGAGGGGTGTCTGGCATCCTCGTGTCTCCATCTCACCTCCTCCCTCCCAGGTGGAAACTCCCCGCCCCCTTCTGCTCGCTCTCCCAGGTTCCTGTCCCGGATGTTAGACATGCTGGTGTGAGAGCCCAGGCCACACACGCCAGCCATGGCCACCCAAAGAAAGAGGCCGAAATCTGAAGCAAACTTGCTGTCCATCACGAATGGAGGAAATGAGTTGCTGCTGCTTTTAAACAAGTTAATATTAAGCTTTAAAGGAAAAGATATATTATTGAAGTCTTTTTTTTTTTGAGACAGAGTTTTGCTCTGTTGCCCGGGCTAGAGTGCCGTGGCATCAGCCTAGCTCACGGCAACCTCAGACTCGTGGGCTCAAGCGATCCTCCTGCCTCAGCCTCCCGAGTAGCTGGGACTACAGGCACGCACCACCATGCCTGGCTCATTTATATATATATATATATTTAGTTGTCCAGATCATTTCTTTCTATTTTTTAGTAGAGGTGGAGTCTCGCTCTTTCTCAGGCTGATCTCGAACTCCTGAGCTCAAACAATCCACCAGCCTCGGCCTCCCAGAGTGCTAGGATTACAGGCGTGAGCCACTGCGCCCGGCCTGAAGTCTTAAAGTGTATACAGTCAGCCCTTCATATCTGCCAGTTCCACATCCAAGAATTCAACCAACTAGGGATCAAAAATTATTTGAAAAAAAGAAAAATCAAAACAATTAAAAAATAACAATACAACAATAGAAATAATACAAATTAAAAAACCAATACAGTATAAAAACTATTTACTTAGCATTTACATTGTATCAGGTATAACAAGTAATAAAGCGATGATTAAGCATGCGGGAGGACGTGGGTAGCTTATATGCAGATACCGCACCATCGTATATCAAGGACTTGAGCATCCGTGGGGTGGGCGTGGGGCGTCCTGGAACCAGTCCCTCACAGCTACCAAGGGACAGCTGTGTATTTATTTTACTTTATTTTTAGAGCAGTTTGAGGTCCACAGCTAAATTGAGCAGAAGGTGCAAAGTTTCTGCAAACCTCTGCCCTTCCCCCACCGGCTCCCCATAGCAACATCCCCACCAGGGCAGGATATTTGTTACCACTAATGGACCTACATTGACACGTCCACCAAAATCTGTAGCTTACGCCAAGATTCACTCTTGGTGCTGTCCACTCTCTCAGTTTTGACAAATGTAGGACACGTATCCACCGTTACAATATCGTACAGAATCATTTCATGGCCCTGAAGTCCTCTGTGCTCTCCCCGTTCCGCCCTCTCCCTGCCCGGCCACGGCTACCTCTGACTTTCCACTGTCTCCGTGGTCTCACCTTCTCCAGAATGTCGTAGCATTGGAATCAGACAGGATGTAGCCTTTTCAGATTGGCTTCTTTCTCGTGGTGACGTGCATTTAAAGTTCCTCTAGACCTTTTCATAGCTTGATAGCTTCTTTCCTTCTAGTGCCGAATAATATTCCACTGTCTGGATGTGCCTTAGTTTATTTATCCATTCACCTCCTGGAGGATATCGTGATTGCCTCGTTTGGGCAGTTATGAGTAGAGCTGCTGTCAACATCCACGTGCAGGTCTTTGTTTGGACTTAAGTTTTCAACTCATCTGAGTGTCAGGGAGTACGATTGCTCGATCACATGGTTAGAGTATGTGTAGTTTTATAAGAATCCTCCAAACCGTCTTCCAGAGTGCCTGTACCGTTTTGCACTCCCAGTAACGATGAATGAGAGTCCCTGTTCCTCCACATCCTTGCCAGCATTTGGTGTGGTCAGTGTTTGCATTTTTGCATTCTAATACATGTGCAGCAGTGTCTCCTTGTTTTAATTTGCAAATCCCTAATGATGGGATTTGCAAATATAATGTTGAGCATATTTTCATGCATTTATTTTCCATCCATGTATCTTGGCGAAGTATCTTTCCAGATGCTGTGCCCATTTGTTAATCTGATCGTTTGTTTTCATATTGTTGAATTCTAAGAGTTCTTTGAATATTTTGAGTAACAGTCCTTTATCAGATATGTCTTTTTCAAATATTTTCTCCCGATCTGTGGTTTGTTTTCTCATTCTTTTGACAGTGTCTTTCACAGAGCAGAAGTTTTTAATTTCAGTGAAGTTAAGCTGATCTATTATTTCTTTCACGGATCTTGCCTTGATGTTAGATCTAAAAACTAATCACCAAACCCAAGATTATCTAGGTTTTCTCCTATATTGTCTTCTAGGAGTTTTATAGTTTTGTGTTTTACATTTAGGTCTTTGTGAACCATTTTGAGTTAATTTTTGCAAATGGTGTAAGATTTTATCTGGATTCTTTTTTTTCATGGATGTGTACAGCACAATTTGTTGAAAATACTATCTTTTCTCCATTATACAGCCTTTCCTCCTTTGTCAAAGACCCACTATATTTATGTGGGTCTATTTCTGGGCTCTTTATTCTGTCCCATTGATGTTTTTCTGTTCTTTCACTAGTACCACACTGACTCGATTACTGTAGCTTTATGGTAGGTCTGGAAGTTGGCTAGTGTCAGTCCTCCAACTTTGTTCTTCCCCTTCAATGTTGTTTAGCCTATTCTGGGTCTTTTGTCTCTCCACATAAACTTTAGGATCAGTTTGTCAATATCTACAAAATATCTTCCTGGAATTTTGATTGGGATTGCATTGAATTTATAGATCAAGTTGGAAAGAACTGACATCTTGACAACATTGAGTCTTCCTATCCATGAACATGGAATATCTCTTCGTATACTTTTAAGTTTAAAGAAAAATAACTTTTGCCAAAGTCAGTGTATGTTTTATCACTTCAGAATTAAAATTTCAAAAAAATTCTATATTTTTACTCCTTCACAATTTTCCCAGCTGCATATAAATATTGTATCTCCCGGTTACGTAACGCCAGCTCGTCAGCAATCAGAGGGCAGGTCACTCTTCTCCTCTAGCAGTGCCGGTGCCTCAGTGTTCAGTAATACAAAGGTTCAGAGATGAAAATGGAGCATTTAAACGGCACACAGGCTCTGTCTGAATGAGCCATTTGTCTCGGGATCAGGCTTCAGCACAATTCTCTTCTTCCTTGAATGCCTCAAACCTCTGCCAGAATAAGATTTCACTTCATTCCCCTCCTTCATCTTGGGAGCTGTAGGTGGTGACAAGACTGGATCACAGTCACTTTGAGGTCTGGGCCTGTGATCTTGTCCTCATCTTTTCTTCCGGCCATTCAAGGCTGCATGCGGTAACGACGGACAGAAATCTCTCCTAAGGAAGGGGCGAAGCTAAATTTCTTTAACCATGCATAGAATTCTAAATGATGCCAGCATATTCGAAAACTCACAAGTACTACTTTATCACTTGACCTCATTCCTATTACTTCACATGTGCTCTTATGATTTCGTCCTTTATAGTTCAACTAGATGGGAATAAGGTAAATATTTGAAAGCCAGATGACAACATTTTCTTTCCATGAAGCTCTCCAGTGATAGAAGAGTTTTACCCTTAAATCTGCCCCAACCCTGATAGTACACATTAGCTCTGCTCTCTCGGTGGATCACATCCCTGTATAAGAAACGTTAAGCGAGACTTGCTGTGGTTTCTCAGTCAGGGTGCAGAGAGAGGCGTACGCGTCAGCAACGTGGTGTGACCTGGACACGTTCTTGCTGAGTGATCCTTTGTGTAGTTCTAAGGTCTGTCCTACCAAGTCTCTGTCTATCCCAAAGAGAAGACCCTCTTCTCTTCCCCACTATTTCACTACCCTCCACTCTCATTTCTTTCTCCACCCTCGCTCTCCACCTCCCCCACCGCATTCGTGGGATCTACATTTGGGAGAATGTGGGATAGCGGAGAGCTTCTGTTCCGATTCTGCCCCAACTCTCTTTACTATTCCAGTCAATCCTAAAGTGACACAATACTTACTACCATCCAAGTTATGTCCTTCTCTAAATGAGGAAAAAAAAACTTAGAGGGGAAAAACAAGACAATAATAAAGTTTTAAGCTAATAATAAAAGCAAATGGACAAGGATATCCATTTGTTTTCACATTTTAAGTTCTAAAATAGAACAGTGACTTGTGATGAGTATCATTCGATTCTTCGGAAAATAAACAAACTGTGTGTTCCTTACACCCTAGTAGAGCCGTCGAAAGCCGGAGAGCAGGAATTAGGGGTCCCTAAGCCAACCCCACTAAGTAGCAAAGTTACATAGAAAGTTCTAGAGAAACAAAAACTTTTATGTTTAATATTATCATTTAGACGGGAATAAAAAAAAAAATCCTTCTTGACCTAGCTCTGGCAAGTGAATAAAGGTTTAAATTCTGAAGTGGTTGTGTCATCCCGGTCTCATACCCCTCATGTGCACAGAGGAGCTCTAGGGAAACCCAAGTGCTTTGGGGAAGGAAATTGTTGATTCGAGGGTAGTATTTTCCTGAGTCACTCACCACACCCGCTACTCCACCCTGGACTTTGGAGATGTCTCAGTGAGTTCACGCAGTGTTGTCTGGACCTTGGGGGAAGCCAACTTTCTTGGCACTTTGTACATCTCTTGGAAGTATTTTAAGCCAAGTTCTGCATTGGTTTGATTAAAATTCACTCCTGAAACTTTATTTGCAAGGAAAACTTAAATTTTCTTTCTTGAATTTTGATGAAGTCCTTTTGGCGAGCCAACCTCCTAGGTTATTTTATAAGGGAATGTGATTCCGAAAATTACTTGGATTTCAGGGCATCCCGCCAAATCGTGATTGGAAATGTTAAGGAAAAAGAGTTTTTTTAAAAAAAATGTGTAACTTTTTATTTGGTAAAATTTAAAACTTTAGTCCCTTCCTGTTGATCCCTTAAGGGAAGCTAATTTGCACTAGTGTGAGGGCAGGTTGTGGAGGAAGAGAGTCCCCGAGCCACTAGGAGGTATTTCCCCGTGAGGCTGTCCTAGTCCTCCCCGGGTGACAGTGGAGGGCCTTTGGGCCGCTTGGGTCTACATTGACTTCTCATCCCAGGAAAACTCCCTATGAAGGAGGAGAGGCTGGGGGAACTGCCAGAGGGAGTTAAAGAGTGCTCGGTTGTAGCTGGGAGCAGGAGTGCTGGCAGAAATCACCTTCCCCGGGTCTAAGCAGAGACTGGGGTGACAGCAGAGGGCCAGCCCCTTCTCTGGGGCACTTCCAGGCAGCCAGCAGGGAAGTTCCTTCCGCTCTCCTTCCTCGATCGATTGTAGCCCGGCAGCCCCTGTGCCTCTCCCCACTCCTCACCCTGCCCTAAGCCCCGCCATAGACAGGGCTCCTGTGGTACAAGGAGAGGTGACGTGAATGAGGAGGGAGAGCAAACTCTGTCCTGCCAGCATTTGAGGGCCTCCCGCCCCCGCGTCACCCACTACTCTCAGTCCACATCCCGCCCCTCACCCCCCACTCCTGCCTCCCAACCCACCGAGTGCCCTGAGCCCAGTCCTCCGCCTCCTTCCCTCCACCCCAGGCCCGTCACCCTGTCCCGGTCCCGCCCTGCGCTGCTCCTCCTCTCCTGGTCCCCTGAATCCCCTCTAGCTTTTCGCCTTTGCTTTCTGCTACCTGAAAGCGTGTGGCCCAACCATGGACCAAAGGAACATCACCAAATGGCTTGGAAATTGCAGAGGCAGGTGTCTCCAGAACCCGTTAGAAACTTTTGAAAGCATTTTTAATGTTATTGGACATGTAGGTTACATCTGCAGCGTAATTCATCCCCCATGTCAGCTACCTTATGGCTCAGAGTCACTCCGTGGGCTGAGCTGGTTGTCTGAGTGCCCCTGTGACATCGCTGCTGCGGGGAAAAGTATTCCGGGTCCCAGTAAGCCTTACAGGGACACCTTCCCCCAGTCAGCGCTGCTGCTTACAGGTGACCATGCTCCTCCTGGGCTCACGTGGAAGAAGTTTTCTGGATTGATCACGTTCTTTGTGAGCATATGTCAATAAAAATCTCCCAGTTCACCAAGTTTAACTAGTTGGGTAGGACTGAGCCATTTCAAAACCCTGTAAAGTGCCAGGCATGCAGACAATCTATTCTTAGTTGTTTGTGTTTCCAAGGCATCGTTTTGGTATTGTAGTGTCGCAGACACGTAAGTGAGAGAACAAAGGTTTCAACCTGAAGTCTCAGTATTGTTAATGGCCTGGAAAGAAGGAAGCCAAACCCATTTCAAATAGAACATTTCTGGACATCTTTGGGTAATGTCTGACTCCTCTTGGTTTGCGTGCTTTTTCACGGATGAATGCTGCGGGCGTTCACACGTCTACCATTTCTGTCTCCTGTTTTCTGTTTTGTGTGTCTCATCAACAGCGGGTCACAGAAAGTCGAGAGAGCCAGATGACCATTGAGGAGAGGAAGCATCTGATCACTGTGAGAGAGGAAGCTTGGAAAACCAAAGGCCGGGGCGCAGCCAACGACTCCACCCAGTTTACCGTGGCTGGCAGGATGGTGAAGAAAGGTCAGAGAGTGTGCGTGCGTGCGTGTGTGTGTGTGTGTGTGTGTACACGTGTGTGCACATGAGCACGCTCACCCGTGGAGGTGATGGTGGCATGTGACAGCTTAATTTAAGAAAAACAAGCCACGGTCTTCTCACATTTTTAAACTTACTGACAGCGTGGAAACGTTTTTTTGGGTAAGTTTTGTGAGCTATTCCTACTGCGTGTCTTCTCTTCATAAATAATGCCATCTTCCATGTGAGACACATAAGTCACTTTGTCCCTATTTCAAAACTGACCTCTTTGGGAATAGAGTGCAATGGTAGGTTTCAAAAGCAATTGCAAATCTGCTACCAAATCTTGGTCTTTTCCCATAATTTCTTTTAAATTATTTCTATTGCTATTTTCTCATAACCTGGCAACCCCTTACCCTGAGTGAGCACTTCTCAATAAGGAAGTTTGTCTCCTCTCCCTTTCGGTTAATTCCTAGGTCCCTTTCCATGGAACCGGATTTCTCTGGCTTACAGAGGCCAGTTTCTAGATATGTTTTAATAGATGTTAAAAGATGTATCCAGTTCCAGGGAAGTGGGATTTCCCTGCTGAAGTTCCTTCCCTGCAGCTCGAGGTTTGGAACCGATTTGAGGACTGCACTCAAAGATTCATGACGTGGACTGACACGTCACATGGTGGGGGAAGTCTCAGAGAGCTTTGAGGCTCCGTGGGAGTGTTCGGACCTTTATTTCATATTCTGTAGGAAATGGTTAGAAGTTGGATTTCCTTTGTCACCAATATGCATATATCTTCATTCTCTAAGCTGTTATTTAAAAGCATATGTCCTAACTTAGTAGTAAAAGTTTTCACATTCACTTCGTCTTAACATACTGTCATCAACTTTATAGGTTTAGCTTTCCTTTTTACCAAAACCTCAGGAATCCTGGTTCTTAGGAATGGTACCTAACTCATCACAGGCACGAAATAAACGTTTGCAGAAGGAAGAGGGGCAGGAAGGGGAAAACCCCGAATTGTGACTCACGCAGATCTCAGTGGAAGAATCCTTCCTAACAAATCTGTTCTCCCCTCACCTTGGAATTGCCAGAGGATAACAGAAGACAATCTACCCTCACAGGATGAGGTAGCATTTGACTGTTTTCTTCATCGGATTGCAGAGCTGTATGATCATCTTTAAACTTCTTTAACAAGATCCCCGTCCTGTGTTAACAGATGCGTACCCGTAGGCACAGATTGGTTAAAAAGAACTAAAGCCAAAAACTGGAACCAGGGCTTCAAATTTCCAACTTCTAGCGTGTTTTCTCCTGATGACTTTTTGCTTTGGTTTCTTTTTCCTTCTCTGATCTTAAAAATTGTGGTGTGTTTGTGAGGGGGCCCTTACTAGCAAATACCTCTCCCCTTGTCCACATTGATGGCAGAGAAAGTAGGTTGCTCTTATGCAGGTTTGGAGAAGGAATCGTTTCTATTCCTCTGTGGGTGAGTTTCACATTTCCCAAATAAATTGGGAATTTTTATTTAACATGCTATGTGGCTTGCTCAGGAAATAATTTTCTTGTACTTTTAATCTAATGAAGAAACTGTATTCTATATTTATTTCTAATTATTTGTTACCACCTACTGGATTACATATTTCACGTGGGTCATTAACCCTTTTTGATTTGCAGTAATACGGCACCCGATTCAGGTGCCCTGCAGAATAAAACAGCCACTGCAGGACAGCCACACTTCCCGTCCCAGCAGGCCGCCGGGCACCCAGGGGTTGCCACCCCTCAGTGCGCCAGGAGGCACGCTGGCCCTGATGTCCACCTGATGTCCATGCTCTCACCCCAGAGACACCTCTTCTCCCCCAGCTTCATGAGGACTTTCTCCCTTTTCCATGTCCCTGGATTCTGTGTAGCAATTAGCACCCCACGAGGTTTCCATGGCATTCTTGAATTCTCCTAGAAGAAGAGTATTCCAAGTGCACCTTTGAATAAGAAAGATGCGAAAACGTTCCCAAAGAAAGGAAGTGACTGGTTATTGCATCTAGAATTCACTGAAAAGAGGTATAGGGAGGGCTTTGTCTTAACATTTTGTAACTTAAGTCTCTGTGCCCTGCGCCATTACAGAAGAGTCCTTGTCTCTAGCTCTCTGGCTGGGAAAGAAATGTGCCAGCTCCGGGAGCTCTTTTTTTGTTTTTTTTTTTTTTTTTGTAGTGCCACTGCCTGAGCGATCAGCAGAGGGGGCCATAGCAGCAGGGTTTGCTCGGTGTCCCCATAGAAGAGGGACAGATTTCACCGGTTACTTTGGAAACCAGCCCTCTGAGTCTGTCCTGCTTTATTGGCTTCAGAGTTAACGACCTCAGTGCTCATGAACTCGGCCGAAGTCTCTAAAGCACCCTTTGCTAGGTGGCGATGTGCTGCCCCACGCTGTGATTCCGAGTTCTACTTGTCTTTATCATCTTTCAAGAAAGTTTACGTTCTCGCTGATATAAACCCTGTCCAGGTCTGGTAATCGAAACAGATTTTAAAACTTGTATTGACATCATCAATCAAATATATATACATGATGAGAAGTGCTTCTAGAATATTACCTAAAACTTAAGTTTTAAACCACTTATTGGTATTTTTCCTTAAATTTTTTTATGCTATAATAGTTACCTCTCCAGCTCACAGGAGGAAGGAGCAGAGTCATTCATTCATTCATTCATTCATTTTTTCCTTGTGATAGTGATTTGCATACCCTCCAGATGTTGTTCTTCCAGGGACGTGTGAGGTGGCAGTGTCATCCGAGGATTTCACATTTATTACAGATGAATACAAAGAATATTCACCTCTCCTTTCTTTTTTGTAAAATACACTAATCACTTCTCTTTCCTATCCCCTTTACTTAGGTTAGGATAAAAATACTCGCCTTTCTCTTCACTGAGTTTTCCTGTTCCAGCCAGACACCTTCTCTCTGCTGGAATTCCGCTCCTTCCCTTTCATATGTCCCTTACCATTTGCCCTTTTAAAAATCCCCCACCCTGCTTCTAGACAAACATAAAATATAAGAGGGCATAGCGCCAGTTTCCAGCCATGCCCGAGATGGACAGGCCCTCCGACCGCCAGCCAGTTCAGATGTGCACTCGTCTGCGTCTGTCTGCTGAAAGATCGGCAGCCCCGGGGTATTGTCTGTGTAGTGTCCCCAAGGCCAGCGTGCCACCCGCAGCTCACTCAGCCTGGAGGAAAACGCTGGTGCTGGGGCCTGGTGCTGGCTAGTGCGATGAGGCTCATTCTCGCCTTGCGCTGCGGGAGGCGGTGCAGATGCGCCTTCTCCCCAGCCACCCCTGCCTCCCCCGGAGGGCGGCACTCACACCTCCTTCTGCTCAAGTTTACACGTCACGTCATGGACTCGTTTTCCACATCTTCGTTGTTCACCTCGAACATCAGCTTGGTAGCTCTTACCGTCCTTGGGAACGATAAAATCCTGTCTCCCTTTGCAGTTGTCCCACGGAGCCGTGGTGGCTGCCAGACGCGTATGTGTGTGTGTGCACACGTGTGTGTGAGCGCATGCACATGTATAATTCTCATACGCTGTGCAGTCTATGCTGACACGCGTGGAGATCTCCCAGATCCTGGAGGTTTCCAGACGTGATCCCGAGAAGCTCAACAGCCGCTTTGCTTGCCCTGCAGGTTTGGCGTCACCCACTGCCATAACCCCGGTGGCATCTCCCATTGGCAGCAAAACGAGGGGGACTACACCGGTCTCCAAACCCCTAGAAGGTAAGTGACCATGGCCCCGACGCGCCAAGGGTTTCTGGCTAGAGCCCGTGGATGCACTCTCACGCCTGGTGTCCACTCGCCTAGATATTGAAGCCAGACCAGATATGCAGCTGGAGTCGGACCTCAAGTTGGACAGGCTAGAAACCTTCCTGAGACGGCTCAACAACAAAGGTACATCCCAGAAGTCCGAAGCCTTCGTGCTCAGATCTCTAAATCCTAACTCTGACTGCGTTTTGTCCTCAGCTAAATTGTCTTCTTTCATTATGGCTTCACTAATGCATGCTGTAATCATTATCTTTCTTATTGCCTGTCAAAAAATGAGGTTTTGGTCATGACTGTTTGGATTATCAAGCCCTGATTCCCTTGATGATGTACTCAGTTAGGGTCTCCCAATAACATGCTTACTTGTTCCTGAATCTAAAACCCTTGGGACGTCATCCAGTCAGAATTGTGAACTCAGTGATTTTGCTGATAACCCTGAAAGCAGATTATGACACATATGCAAATCAACATGATCTCGGGCTGGCCTAACTTAAAATTGTAGGTATCGATTTCCAATAAGGTAAAAGCTGGGCTGTGCGCGGTGGCTCCCGCCAGTAATCCCAGCACTCTGGGAGGCCGAGGCGGGAGGATCGCTCGAGCTCAGGAGTTCGAGACCAGCCTGAGCAGATCAAGACCCCATCTCTACTAAAAATAGAAAAAATTAGCCAGGCAACTAAAAATAGAAACAAAACATTAGCCAGACGTGGTGGCGAGTGCCTGTAGTCCCAGCTACTTGGGAGGCTGAGGCAGGAGGATCGCTTGAGCCCAGGAGTTTGAGGTTGCTGTGAGCTAGGCTGACGCCACGGCACTCTAGCCTGCAGGCAACAGAGTGAGACTCTGTCTCAAAAAAAAAAAAAAAAAGTAAAAGTTGATATTATTTATTATAACCAGAAATGATTTCTAAAAGAAAATTCTGGTAAATAAATGTTGGAATAAGTATTTCAATATAAAAGTCAACAAAGTATACAAAGTAAAAGAATAATATACAGAAATAGCCTTTTGTCTCTTGACAAAAAAGGTCCAGTACTTGAAACTTATCAAATTCTAGGCCCTGGGAGCCCTTACTATGACAGTGACCCTGAAAAGGTTGAAAACAATACAAACAATCACTATTAAACAGAAATATTAAAGTATAATATAATAACTAAGCTGGCTAGACAAGGAATTCAAACAGTCAAAGAATTTATTTCATACATGTAACAATGTTCTAGCCAGTGGGTCAGCAAACAATGGCCATTGCCAAATCCAGCCGTCCACCTGTTTTTGTAAATAAAGTTTTATTGGAACACGTCCATGCCCATTGCGACCCTATTTTCAGTAGCTGCCTTTGCACTACAGCAGCAGAATTGGGTAGCTGCAGCGCAGGCCACATGCACCTCCCCCGCCCCGCCCCACGCAAAGCCTGAAACACGTTCTGCTGGGCCCTTTTTGGAAGAAGTTTGCCGCCCCTGATGTAGCACGAGGCTGGTTCTTCTGCCCCCAACAGAAATAGGCACAGATTCGGAATTGTTCGGTGGACTTGGGAGCAACAGGGTCAGCCTCCCTCTCTTCCACCGCTTTCCCGTGCAGGGTTTGCTCAGTGGGACATCCTTACCTGAGAAGTCAGGTAAGGGCTCCGGCGGCAACCACAGGACCTTGTATGTCACTATCGTGTCCTCTCTATTCCTGAATTTAGGGGAGGAAATCATTCTTAAAATATCGGGAGGCACTTAGAGTCATTGTTTCATAAAACTCTCACGTTATTTGCTTGTGTGTTGGCAGTTGGTGGGCTGCAGGAGACGGTCCTCACTGTCACCGGCAAATCTGTCAAAGAGGTGATGAAGCTGGATGATGACGAAACCTTTGCCAGGTTTTACCGCAGCGTGGACTACAACATACCGAGAAGCCCCGTGGAGCTAGACGAGGACTTCGATGCGATTTTTGATCCCGATGCACCCAAGTGAGTTACTCTGGCCTCCTTCGTGGCCCCCACGTGGCACTGCCGCAGGATCCCGCCCCCGCGTTGCCTTCTATAGTGGAGACCACCCCCCTGCACTCGCTCCGGAGCCAGGTGCACGGTGCGGGGGCGATACACACGCAGAGCCCAGACCAGATGCGCTTCAGGCCGACCACGTGTGCCACGGATGTTTGTCCTGTTCCATAAAGATGGCATCACTGGATTTTTCACATAACTTGAACATTGTTTTGCAATTTTTTAGATTAACGTCACTTAGCAGAGATTTCTACATGTGTCTTTCATCTGACACGTTGAATTCTTACTCAGAATTTTGAAAAATGTTTGGATGATATGGGCTCAAATTAGTTCCACTAACTAGAAAGTCAGTCAAGCATGTTCCTTAGCTTACAGTCACGCGTGACAGCAACTGGTCTGAGGGCTCTCTCAGTGACGTCCAAGTCTAAGGGTCTGACTTCACGTGAGAACGCGACTACACCACCTAACACAGTGAATTATGGTGTTAGGATTCCCTCAGTTGCCAGTGCCAGGGAAACCCCAGTCAAACTGGCTTCAGCGAAGGAAGGCTGGAGAGAGGTTCGCAGGCTTGCCGCGGAAAGTGCAGGTGGGACCTGGCTTCTAGGGGCTCCTCAGAACGCGGTGGTCGTCTTGGCTGCTGTTCCGTGGGCTGCCTCCCTCGCAGCTGGACGCCGCCCTAGCCCAGGGTTCGCCGGCTCCGGCTGCGCGCTCGGCCAGCCCAGCACAGGCAGCTCCTCTTGCCGGGAGTCCCAGTGGACGTTCCGGGTTTGGTTTCGTGGCTTCAGCCTGAGCCCAAGTCCATCCCTGACCAATCGCTGTGGCCAGCGGGCTAGAAGGTGCTGACTGGCCAGAACTGGGTTTCTGGATCCCTCCAGAGCCGTAGCGGGGGACAGTGAGTCGGTTTCCTGAAAGGAAACCCAGATGCTATTACCAGAAGCAGGGAGGGTCCGCTGGGCAGGCGGAACCCACAGCAGCCCACCGCGTGGACGTGCTCGTTCTACAGGTTGTCAGGGTCACTGTCTCTTCCACCATGGTGCGTCTTCCATAAGCTGCTCTTGATACATTTCCTGCATATTTCAGTTTGTTTCAATTTCCAACCTTGGAAAAAACCCTTTGCCATTTCCCACCTCGAAGCAATCTTTCAGGTATTTGCATACATAGTTATTTAAACCATTTCTCAAACTTCTCACCCAGTGTCATTGTTTAGATTATTACATACAATAACTTAAGCATGTATCTGCACACTCACACACACGTGACATGGTACGCAGAAAGAGGCCCTTCAGGCCCCGAGACCTGTGCAGCTGGAAGTTAAGGTGACAGCGGCGTCTCCCCACCTCTCCCAGCCTGGTTCCCCACCCCAGAGGGTTGTGAGGGTGGGGTGGTCACAGGTGGTTTTGTGGGCCTATTTTATTTCAATAGGTTCTTCCAAATAGTGGATACTTTTCAGAGAGGGACAGTGGGTTGCTTGGCGGCTAGTTGTGGAGGATGAGCCGGGAACTGAGGAGCTGTTCCTGGTAGGAGGTTTAGACGGAAGCAGACAGATTGGCTCGAGGAGCAGGCCGTTGAAGGGCTTGCCGGAGACAGAGAAGCAGACGTGGACGTCTGGTTCCGGGGGGAGAGTGGGAGCAGGTGCGCGGCGTGGTAGGAGCAGGCAGAGCCCCCTCACCCGCAGGGCTGCCCGGCAGGGGCAGCTGTCCCAGCCGCACTGACGCCTCTGGGCAGAGGCCGAGGGGCTCCAGTGAGCGGAGCGTCTGGGGGTGGCTGGGTTTTGAACTCTGTGGGCTTGAATCTTCCTTCCAACTCCAAGATGCTGTGACTCCACGTCAGGGCAGTGGCCATGGGAGGAGAAGTTGTAAGATTTGTAACGAAATCAGGAAATAAAATTGTGGAGTCCGAGAACCGCACATAGCCAGGTGCGGCTGTTGTCACAGACGAAGACGCCTCTGCTTTGCTCCGCAGACTGACGTCTTCCGTGGCCGAGCACAAGCGCGCGGTGAGGCCCAAGCGCCGGGTGCAGGCTTCGAGAAACCCCCTGAAGATGCTGGCGGCGAGAGAAGATCTCCTGCAGGAGTACACCGAGCAGAGGCTGAACGTCGCCCTCATGGAGTCGAAGCGGATGAGAGTGGAGAAGAGTGAGTGTTTGGGCCACCGCCCGCTGCGTGCTTGGGAGCTGGTTGCTCGGTTATTCCATTCATGCCTTGTTTTCCTGCCTTGCAGAAACCACTCACGAAATCAAAATGAGTGAGGTTGCACATGCACACCTGCCTAGAAGTTAAAGCCTCTCCACAGGTGTATCATCTGTTCCTTGGTTAATCCGAATTATCCTGTAGTGTTGAGTTTCCTTGCAAGAGGTTGGACAAGGATGTTTGTGGACACTGTAATTCCACCCACCTTCAGCTCTTTAGAGCCTGAACACAATAATTCTCCACTTAATTTTATTCAGGAGTAAAGCATTTGATCTTTCATGGAAAAATGGCCCAAATCACTGCTTTTTCTAACCCTAGATTTTTATATTATTAATGCATAAACCAGTGCTTTTCAAATCGTTCTCAGTAGGACCCTCAGCTCCTTGGTGGGATGTCAGTTGGGTGGAGGGGGTGTTGGGAGTTCTGGGAAGGGGGTTCTGGACACTCGCTTCCACTTTAGGCCGAGCCACACTGCTGTTATCTGCTCGATAATGTGGGGTTCCCTAGCTTGCAACAGCAGTGTTCTTGGCAGAGGTGCTAGCACACGTAATCTTGATATTTTGAATATTCTTGCCATAATTTTCATGTTTCTGTAGCACTCATAAACCTTTTTCCTAACGTTTTTCTTAGAAAGATAGTATTTAGATGATGTGGTTGAGTCTTTTGATTATAAGTGGTTTACTAAGAAAGTATATTTCAAAATCACCATGCCATAGGAATTGTCAGGTAGTGTTATCTTTCTTCAAACCTAATCCGAGCAAAATAATTTTCTGAATGTCTCTCCAGCATATACATTTTTTAGAACAATAAGTTGGAGAAATAAAGGATGGTTGGCACAAATTCCACATGCTGTTCCTCTGCCCCCACCCTGGGGCTCTGGGGCATGGCTTGGTGTGCACGGACAACCCCAGCATCTCGTGATTGCCGTCTGAGGTCTGAGAGCCGGGACCACAAGATATCACCTCGTTGATCACTGTGCCTCTAGAAAAAGATTAGAACGAATCATCCCTGACACAGTGTCTCCTTTCCTACATATAAAAGGTGTTTGGTGGAAGACATCGAATAGCCGTCCTTGGGAACACAGTCCAATATCTAAAGGCTGTGAGTGTTTGTAGCAGCTTTCCGTGGAATTGCAGCAAATGAGTTCAGCTCCTGGTGCCACACTACAGTAGCTGGTCCACATCGTCACTCGGTTCACCCAATTCTTGTCCCCCTGCATGGCGAGGTGCGACACTCGTCAACAAGCAGTTTATATTTTCAGTCCTGTGTCTCATTTTTGACACAGTGGTTAAGCGATGAGCTGCGTGAACTTTTCGGTCGTGAGCACTGCCCTTTCGCCTGATCCTCTTGCCTCCCCCTGTTGTGTTTCCTCATTCACCCTGCCCAGTGTCCTCCAATTCCAACTTCTCGGAAGCCACTCTGGCAGGCTTAGCCAGTAAAGAGAACTTCAGCAACGTCAGCCTGCGGAGCGCCAGCCTGACGGAGCAGAGCTCCAACAACAGCGCAGTGCCCTACAGGAAGCTGATGCTGCTACAGATCAAAGGTATCTCCCAGCAGCCCGGAGAAAGGCCACGCTGACCAGAGGTCTCTGCCCGGTCACCTCGGGAGTCCCGCCTGCCTCCTTTCGTCCCTGTTCGGGGATGGGGACGCGTACTTTGAGACCCTCCCGTGTGCTGCAGGCCATTGCTACCTCCTGTCTCCAGCTTCCCCAGATTCCGCGAGGTAGGAAGTGTTACGCCCACGGGGGCCTCGAGAGGTTTGTAAGGTGCCCGGGGTCACGGCAGCTGCGCCCTGCCCTGCAGTGGGGCAGTAACCAGGCGTGCCCGAGGCCATCAGAGTGGCTCTCTGCTCTCCACTTGGTCCTCCACGTGGAGATAAGCAAACGTCGTGCAGGCCGGAGGAGAGGGGCGCGTTCTTGGGGAAGGAATCACGGGAGGGCAGAGGAATGAGCCGACCTGGATTCCACTGGAATGTGCTTCCTACCTGTAGCAAGGGAGGCTTTGGGGACAACCAGGCGCTGCTTCCTAGGCCGCCCCTAGAGATGACTCCTCGGGAGGACGGTGGGTGAACTATGCTCTGCCTCCGTGAGGGTCTCTGGCATGTTCCTGCGTCACCACTGTCCTTTCTGGTGTATGTAAAAAGACTAGTGACAAGCCCAAATAACCAATCTCTGTCCCACGTTCTAACCCAGAGACTACGCTGTCAGTGTAGCTGGGGACAGCTCGAAATCAACAAATCATTTAGGAGAAGGTGTTGAGACCAGCATGAGGCTGTGCTTCCCTCCGAGCTGATCCAGTGAAAACTCTGGAAGGGGAGACCCTGCGTGAAGGGTGTGCCTTCCGCAAGGCCTGGCCGACAGGTGTTGCTGAGCACAGCGGAGACGTTAGGTGGAAAGGCCCTAGGAGAAGAGTGGAGGAGGGAAAAGGAGCGTGTTTGCACATTTCCTGGGAGGAGGGAGCCTTAATTAATCCACACTCATACCGTAAACAGACAGTGATGATGTCCTGAGTAGCGTGGTGACCCAAGGGAAGTAATTGATGATGCTATCCTGGTACCTGTTTCAAAGCCCCCAACAGGCCACCCAGGGTCATGTAGACAAGACTCTTCAGAACTGAGTCAGTTGCAGGGGTGCTCCAGACGTAGGGTTGTCCTAGTCCCAGCTCTCCTGTCGGGGGAGACGGTGACTCTGGGCCTCGCGTTCAGGAAGAAGACACGTGCAGACCAGGCTGGTGGAACCCCGCGCCTCGTCGCTCAACAGCGGGGACTGCTTCCTCCTGCTCTCCCCCCACCACTGCTTCCTGTGGACAGGAGAGTTCGCAAACGTCATAGAGAAGGCGAAGGTTGGTATCTAAAAATAAAAATACTTTCGTTAACGTCTCCTTTATGCACTCATAGAATGTTCCTGCAGTTGTCACATCATGAAAAAGAGTCTCAGGCGTGCCAGATGCTTCATTCCAGTGGGAAGGGATAGGTGGTGTTCTTGTCCAGAATGTCTGTTAAATGAGCTTTCGGTACGTGCTTAAGGGGGATGTTTTAGAAGGACTGTGACCTACGCCTTCAATGTCTAAATCCTGGGTTTATTCTTATTTGAAAAAGGAACTGGTGCCACTTCAAAGTTCTTTATCCCAAGCACCTATGTAGTTCAGCCACAGACCATTGGAATAAGAATCCCATGGGGCAATGTCCAAAGAATGGCTTTTTTTTTAAAAAGCCACATGACCTGTTGAATATTGAAGATTGAGAATTACTGCTCTAAAGAATTGATACCCCCTTGTCCTTCAGTTATATTTTCTTGACTTTATTAAAAATCCCCAATAACCAGTGTCCACCCACACCTGTGGTCACAGGTTTTCCTTGCAGATACACACCATTTCTATTCTCTGATTTCAGCACATACTAGTCTGTCCAGTCGTGGGGTTTTCTACCCAGGTAATTGTGTTCCTCTCTTTTTTTAGGCCTCTGAACTTGCAACTTTAATTCAGACGAAGAGGGAACTTGGCTGTAGAGCTACTTATATCCAGACCATCGAAGAAGGGATTAATACACACACTCATGCAGCCAAAGACTTCTGGAAGCTCCTGGGGGGCCAGACCAGTTACCAATGTAAGAGTCCATTGTATTTCAGAGGTTGATAAGATTCGAGTCTCTTTTCTCTTCCCTTTGGTCATTCTTCTAAACCAGCGACTTTTTAGTGTAAAATGTGATACTCTCTTATCTTCCTTATCCCCAAGCTGCTGGAGACCCAAAAGAAGATGAGCTATATGAAACAGCCATAATAGAAACAAACTGCATTTACCGTCTCATGGATGACAAGCTTGTTCCCGACGACGACTACTGGGGGAAAATCCCCAAGTGCTCCCTCCTGCAGCCAAAAGAGGTACAGTGGGTGGGCTCCACCCTTCAACCAGATGGTGCATTAAAAGCACGCTCTTCCCAGGGCGGCCCGATAAAATAGAGAGCAAGTGCTCAAAAAAGGTTAGACGCTGTTAGTACTGATGGTAGGACATTTACAGCTTTTTAAAGGATATTTGTGATTTCAAACCATTACTGCCATCTTAAATACTAACACAGAATTAAGAATGCTGTTAGGAGAAGCATGGATCATTGCAGGCTTTTACACTTTAGGCAAAATTACTTAGCCCTATCTCTTGAATTTTGTATAAACATTAAATATTTTTCAGTCCTAAAATTAAAGGAATAATGGATGCATGCATATACAATTTATGGATTTGCCAAGTAATGTGCTATTTTTTTCCTCTCACACCAGTAAATATTTATTAATTACATATAT